CCCCCCTGGGAGTCCGTGGCCTCCCTGTCATCACAGGGAGCCCACAAAGTCTTGAAAAAAATGTTATGATTTAAATCTTGAATTAGATTTTGGGAGGGGCTGCTGGGGGGTTCGCAAGGGTTGGGGAGAGCCCCAGCTAAGATTCTGTGCAGTTTAGAGAACCCCCAAATCCCACTCCTGGCTGGCCCCGCCCACCCCACCCCTTCTCTCCCAGAAGTCCCCACGCAGTCCATTTTGGATGCAGGTAAGTGCAGGGTGCACACAGAGGCTTGGAGAGGGTGAAAATTGGGCCTCCTGGAAGTTCGGGAAGGCTAGAAACGGGCCTGTTTCCAGCTTCCAGAGAGCCTCTGGAGCCCGGGGAGGGCGAAAACGCCCCTCCGTTGTGGTGCAGGAGGCCGACTAGGCCACGCCCATAGCCACTCAGCAACCAGGCAGTTAACATTTTTGAAGCCCATCCCTGGAGGGGACATGTCACTCACTCACCACTAGGATGACCTTGATTGACAGCCTTTGTGTGTGGTGGATGGGTTCAGACATATGCTGGTTAATCTGCTGGGTCTTAGTTTAGCAAGAAACATGGCTTATTCCTTATTGCTACTGTGGTTTGTTCCGTAAAGTATGTCTTGGCGGGATATTTGAGTCCTTCCATGTTGGTCAATTCAGTGGTGGGTTTTTGTTTTTGTTTTACTATAGGATGAGTGAAAATAAATAAATATAAGTTGATTGCTTTGAGTAGTTAAAAGTCTGATTTTGGTTTCTAAAGTCAATTAGCAATTTGACAACTGCATTTCTTACTAAGGGTAACAGTATCCATTATATTATTAATATTACAAACTGTACTGTCCATTGTTTTAAATGATTATCTTACAAACTGTACTGTCCATTGTTTTAAATGATTATCTTATTACATTTTTTGATAGAAAAGCCTTTTCTCTTTTTGGGTAAAATGCCACTTGTGGTGGAGACAATTCTCAGAGAACCAGCAAAAGTGCCTGTATTATTCAAAGCATATCCCCTCCCAGAGGTAAAATGGTAAGAACCTGAGCAATCTTATTCTTATTTTGCTTCTCCTCCTTTCTGTATACATTTTACAATCTCCAATCACATAGAAACACTGAAGTTCTAAAAGAAAATGTTGGGTTTCTGATTTCTTTGTGAACAGCGGAAGAAAGCGTAACCCAAAATAAAGGGTTATGCTTTTGTTATTATGGCGATGTTACTTGCTCAAAGTATACGCTTAGTGTTTAACTGCTTCCATTTTCTTTTGCATTTTTCTTTTCAGACAAGTGAAAATCCCTATTTAAGCACTGAACACTGAGAATTGCAGACAGATAAACTTTTCTCGCAACTCTATCCTAATCTTAGGGACTATTTTGCGGGCAAAATTAGATTCTCTTGCTGCAGTGTACTGAAAATGTAGGAAGTAGAAGGTGGTTAGATTGTTTGCTCTGTTTGCTTCTTCATCTTTCAAGCCACGGGATCAACTGTGTTTTGCAGGTATAAAAACGGAGAAGCCATTGTTGCAAACCGTACGGTGAAACTTGGTTACTCTTTAATTATTACTGAAATGAGTGAAAAAGATGCTGGGAATTACACCGTTGTACTGACCAATCCCGTTAACCAGCAGTGTGAGAAACACACCTTTCATCTGGTGGTAAACGGTAAGATCTTGTTCCACTTTTTTTTTTTAAAAAAAAGCTACATTGCTGCCAATTGCTAATAAACTGGAGGGAAAGTGGCATCGCATTCTCTGTTAAGATTACAGAGATTGTGCCTAAAGCATCATGTGCCAAGAAGAGTTACATTTGGACGAGCCTACTTATCAAAAAGGTAAAGCACATTTAAGAGATATACAGGTGAGACCATTTCTAGAAAGTGCAAGTTAACAATCCCACCACCTTCCTCTCCTAATCTATTGCACCTCCATTCCCAGCTCACGTTTTCCATTTTGATCCCCCTCAGGGTTATGTGAATGTTGGTTCTATTTGCTTTTCGTTCCACTTTAGACACTCTAGTCCAGTGGTCGCCAACCAGCGGGCTGGGGAAGTCCATGAGAAAATGTTGGTGGTCTGCAGAGAAATGTCACCCCCAAAACATCCCCCACAAAGCAATTAATCCAGGCTGCGTGGGAACACAAGGCTTGTGTCGTTGTGTTGCAAACAACACAAGGTTGTGAGGGGAGGGGGGAAAGGGCGTTGGTGGGGGGAACTTGCCCCATGCGGCCCACACACCTGGCCTGGCCACCGGGCTGCTTCTTTCTGCTTCTTTCTTCTTTTGCTTTCTCTGCACACAAGGAAAGCAGCAAAAGTCTTTCTTTCTCTCCCCCAAACTCGACCAGAAATGAGTCTTTGGGACCCTACAAGGCTCCAAGAGGCTGCACCAGCAAAGACTCATTTCTGGCGGAGTTTGGGGGAGAGAAAGAAAGACTTCTGCTGCTTCTGGTGCTGTCCTTGCATGAAGCCAAAAGTCTCTCTCTCTCTCTCTCCCCCCCCCCCCCCCCCCCGAGAATGGAGCTGGACACCTATCCCGCGATCCCAAATAAAGTGTGATTGATTGGTAGGAAAATGGGGTGGAGAATTTTGCTGCAGACTTTTTTTGGAATTTTCCCAAGGTCTCTTGGTCTGCTGGATTTAAAATTATGTGTTTGGTGGTCCCTGAGGTCCAAAAGGTTGGTGACCCCTGTTCTAGTCTATTTACTTTTCACTCATTTACTCTAAACTTTGATTGGCTACAACATTGGATCAGCCTTCCAATAGCTGGTCACTGTCCTATACAATAGTGAAGTGCAAGGGGCTGTTACGTTCTGAATTGGGGAAAGGCTTTCTTCCCCCTGCCCCCCATTGATCTAACTATGACCCAGTAGCCAGCTAGTGTGAGCCAGCTAAATATGAGCCAGCAGCGTACAGTGGCAGCCAAAAAAGCCAATGCAATCCTAAATTGCATTAACAGAGGGATACAATCAAGATCAAGGGAGGTACTAATACCACTCTAATAAAGCCTTAGTAAGACCACACCTAGAGTAGTGCATCCAATTTTGGCCCCCACACTATTAAAAAGATGTTGAGAGTCTAGAAAGAGGGTAGAGAAGAGCAACCAGGATGATGAGGGGACTGAAGACTAAAACATACGAAGAATGGTTGTAGGAACTGGGCATGGCTAGTCTAGGGAAGAGAAGGACCAGGGCAGACAGGAGAGCAGTGTTCTAGTATTTGAGGGTCTGCCACAGAGAGGAAGGGGTGAAGCTGTTTTCCAAGGTACCTGAAGGCCAGACAAGGAATAATGGATGGAAACTGAACAAGGAGAGATTCAACTTGGAAATAAGGAGAAACTTTCTGTCAGTGAGAACAATCAACCAATGGAACAGAAGTTGCCTTCAGAGATTGTGGGAGCTTCATCCCTGGAGGCTTTCAAGAAGAGACCGGGCTGCCACTTGTCAGAAATGGTGCAGGGTCTGTTTGGGCGGGGGAATTGGACTAGATGATCTACAAAGTCCCTGTTAATCTGTAGTGAGGTCTGCCTTCCCTGCATGGGAAGGGCAAGAAGAAGGGGAATGATCAGTGTAGGTTGTAGTGACCTTAATCTGAATTAAATACAAATAGCTAAACCACTGCAATCTAGGCGTGAGTTTAAATTGACTTCATGAACAGCAGCCCTGGAACAGTAGAGAAGAGTAGCAGCTTGGGCTGAAGTACAGAAGAGCCCTTAGTCTGGTAGACAAGTATCAAAAAACCCTGTGCCCATAGACACAAGTTGGAAAACCCCCCAGAAGTCTGCAGCCACCTTAAATAAAGCATTTTTTTCTAAACTTTTACAAGTTTGTAAAATGTAGTTCTGACACAAGAGGATTAATGTCTGATAATATTTTGAGACTTTGAGAAGTCAAGAGAACTTGATGGTTTCACCCAAGGCTTCATGTGGGATGATCAAGGCTGGTCATCCACATTTTTTTTTGTTCTTCTTTCTCTGATGGTATCATCCAAAATAGCCATCATAACCTTTGGGGTCCTTAGATGTCATCAAAAAATCAAAAACGTCACCATCATCAAAAACGTCATCCAAAAAGCACGACAAAGAATGCTCTTTCTGCGCCAACTCAGGAAGCTCAAACTGCCCAAGGAGCTGCTGATCCAGTTCTACAGAGGAATGATTGAGTCTGTCATCTGCACCTCTATAACTGTCTGGTTTGGCTCTGCAACCCAACAAGACAGACACAGATTTCCGAGGATAATTAGGACTGCAGAAAAAACAATTGCTACTAACCTGCCTTCCATTGAGGACCTGTGTACTGCACGAGTCAAAAAGACGGCTGTGAAAATATCTACAGACGCCTCACATCCTGGACATAAACTGTTTCAACTTCTACCCTCAAAATGACGCTTATAGGGCACTGCACAACTAGACACGAGGACAGTTTTTTCCCACATGCCATTAACTACTAAGACTGTATTACTATTCTTCTTCTCATCCTTACTAGTACCTATCTCTTCCCACTTACGACTATAACCCTGTTGCTTGTATCTTTACAACTTATATGGTTTTTATTGTTTCCTAGTATGATTTGATTGCTTATTAGGATCCTATGTCTATCAATAAGTGTTTTATCTTATGATTCTTGATGAATATATATCATTTTTTCTTTATGTATATGGAGAGCATATTCCACCAAAGACAAATTCCTTGTGTGTCCAACCACACTTGGCCAGTAAAGAATTCTATTCTATTCTATTCTATTCTATTCTATTCTATTCTATTCTATTCTATTCTATTCTATTCTATTCTATTCTATTCTATTCTATAAAAAACAAAGGTGGTTTTTGACTGATCATATAAAGATTGCCTTCCATTGATTTAAAATGCCATGACAACTAAGGTGGGATGTTTTCTCTTTTTCAGCCCCCTTTGATAGAACCTGGATTTTTACAATTGTAAACAAGCAATGAAAACAATATAGGTTGATGTATGGAGGGCCCAATGCATTTGCTTTGTTTGACTTCAGTAACCTCTTCTGTTTATTTATATTTGGAAATGGAGGGGAAAGAGACAGGCTTTTGAAAATCCAGTTTTGTTACATAAAGAATGTTGTTTAATGTGCTGTATATTTTGGTTTGGGCTTTGTGTCCGGGTCTTTTCCTGTCCTCATGCTTCTTCTTACCCCTGGACCACATTGTTTACTTCCCATTACCTCGCCCATCCTGTCATCTTGAGCTTCACCCTTTGCATGCCTTCTTCCTTTGCATCCTCAAGAAACTTCCTGGCCTTTGCTTTATATATATATATTTCTTAAGTTTTCGCGGGTACTTACATGTATGGTATTCAGCTTTGTTCGGGTATTTTCCCACGTCATTATAGTTGTGCTTTTAAAGTTGTAGCAACGTTTCGGCAGAATCTCATCTGCCATCATCAGGCTTCTGTATAGTGTTCATCTGTGAGTCAGACTTTCACAGCCGTTTCAGCCTGATGATGGCAGATGAGATTCTGCCGAAACGTTGCTACAACTTTAAAAGCACAGCTATAATGATGTGGGAAAATACCCGAACAAAGCTGAATATTATATATATGTAGCCAAGTTGGTGGTTCAGGAAGAACAATATCCCACAGTTAGCAATCTTCATATCCAAATACTCCTAGAAAGTGATGTTGGTCACTAAATAAGAAAGAGGTGATGCTGGCTGAACCAGTTTTCATTGTCCAAAATACAGATACAGATGAACAGAGTTGGAAGGGACCTTGGAGGTCATCTATTCCAATCTCACCCCCACCGAAACAGACTCTACACCATTTCTGACAGTCTCTTCTTGAAAGTTTCCAGTGATGAAGCTCCCACAACTTCTGAAGGCAACTTCTGTTCTATCAGTTGATTGTTCTCACTCTTCTCAGAAAATTTCTCCTTATTTCCAGGTTGAATCTCTTCTTGATCAGTTTCCATCCATTGTTCCTTGTCTGGCCTTCAGGTGCTTTGGAAAATAGCTTGACCCCCTCCTCTCTGTGGCAGCCCCTCAAATATTGGAAGACCGCTATCATGTCTCCCCTGGTCCTTCTCTTTACTAGACTAGCCAAGCCCAGTTCCTGCAACCGTTCTTCATATGTTTTAGCTTCCAGTCCCCTCATCATCCTGGTTGCTCTTCTCTGCACTTTTTCTAGAGTCTCAACATCTTTTTAATAGTGTAGGGACCAAAACTGGATGCAGTACTCTAGGTGTGGTCTTACTAAGACCTTATAGAGTGGAATTAATACCTCCCTTGATCTTGATTGTATCCCTCTGTTAACACACCTTAGGATTGCGTTGGCTTTTTTGGCTGCTGCTGCACCCTGCTGGCTCCTATTTAGCTGGTTGTCCAGTAAGGTGAGGCTGGCTGAACCAGTGTTCATGAAATGGACAGTGATTTGTCCAAAATGGTTTAAGGTCTCCTGCTTCTGCAGGGGGGGGGGGTGAACTAGATGACCTCTAAGGTCCCTTCCAACCCTTTCTGTTATTCTGTTAAATGCTTCAGGGTGCAAAGAGGAGTTTTTAACTTTCAGAGTCTGACTGCACTAAAGAAGAACCAAATTTTTAAAAGGCATGAATTCTTTTGTGATCGTTTAACTGGGTGCCAAATGAGTAAGGAAGCAGATTTTTATTCTGTCTGCCACAGCCCATTCTGGTGCAACATTCTGTCTTTTCTCCTAGAAATGAATTAACCTTTCACTTAAATTGGAATGAGGAAAGAAAAGTTGATCAGGGGGGTAAAAAGTGCCACCTTTCTGGTTGGCATGCAGCCCAAAGTCATAATGTGGCTGCTTATTTTTCATTTAGTATGAAGCCAAAGTTCGCTGAGCATTCAAGCTGAAGATTGAATCCATTGTTCTGTTATTATTCCCTACAGTTGATAGTTAGGAGGTAGTTAGATGCCTTTAAAACTTAGAGAATGCTTGAAGGCCTGGCTTTTCGGCTTTGTAACGGAGATGAGCACCGACCCCCTAGAGCCGGGAACGACTAGCACGTATGTGCGAGGGGAACCTTTACCTTTAAGCTGAATAAAGCTTACAATCCGTTTGCTAGCTCTACGTCAATGACTTTTACACGTGTATAATATTCATGGCTACACATAGTCAGATAACAGATAACAGATAATCAGAGTTGGAAGGGACCTTGTAGGTCATCTAGTCCAACCCCCCCTACACCATTTCTGACAAATGGCAATCCAACCTCTCCTTGAAAGTCTCAAGTGATGACGCTCCCACAACTTCTGACGACAACTTCTGTTCCATTGGTTGATTGTTCTCACTGCCAGAAAGTTTCTCCTTATTTCCAGGTTGAATCTCTCCTTGTTCAGTTTCCACCCATTATTCCTTGTCTGGCCTTTGGGTGCTTTAGAAAATAGCTTGACTCCTTCTTCCTCCTTGTGGCAGCCCCTCAAATATTGGAAGACCGCTATCATGTCTCCCCTGGACCTTCTGTTTACTAGACTAGCCAAGCCCAGTTCCTGCAACCGTTCATCGTATGTTTTAGCCTCCAGTTCCCTAATCATCCTGGTTGCTCTTCTCTGTACTTTTTCTAGAGTCTCAACATCTTTTTTATAATGTGGTGAACAAAACTGAATGCAGTACTCTAGGTGTGGTCTTACTAAGGCTTTATAGAGTGGTATTAGTACTTCCCTTGATCTTGATTGTATCCCTCTGTTAATACAATTTAAGATTGCATTAGCTTTTTCGGCTGCTGCTGCACACTGCTGGCTCCTATTTAGCTGGTTGTCCACTAAGACTCCAAGATCCCTCTCACAGTTACTGCTATTGAGCCTGGTTTCACCCAGTCTATATGTGTACTTTTGGTTTTTCTTGCCTAAGTGTAGGACTTTACTTTTCTCTACATTGAATTTCATTTTGTTAGATATGGCCCAGTGTTCTAGTCTGTCAAGATCCATCTGGATCTTGAGCCTATCTTCTTGGGTGTTAGCTATTTCTGCCAGCTTAGTATCATCTGCAAATTTGGTAAATTCCCCTTCTATTCCCTCATCTAAGTCGTTATTGAAGATATTGAAGAGTACTTGGCCTAAAATGGAACCTTGTGGCACCCCACTGCTTATTTCCCTCCATGTAGTACATGTACATGTAGGATTGCTCACAGGAAAGTGCAGCTGCAATTAGCAAGGGCGACTCGGGCGTAAGGCTGCAAGGTAATGGCCCCTGCTTCAAGAAGGTAAAAGCCAGCTGTGAAGCGAACGTTCTTTGCAGGAAGCAAAGACATTTTGATACTCAGCCTCGTGGACATTACAGTATTTTAAGTTGGTATTTGAAGGCTCTTGTATTGTGAAATATTTCTCATCTGTGATTCTTGGCAGTCTCGTGCAGTTTTGGCAGGGTCTGTGTTTATCAAAGTTAATGAGTTTGCCTCAGCCTTTTAACCGGGGATTCGTAAGACTCATTAAAAGTTTTCTGATCTCTTTGATTATTGTCCGTCTTCCCGGAAAAGGGTTTGGGTCAGAACACACCATAGACGGTGTAGTTCAAGGTTGTCCAAGCCTAAAATTTCAAGCCTGGTGATGGAGGGCATTCTGTTGTGAACAGAGGAGTGTAGTACTCTTCTTGATGAGTGTAGACTCATCCAGAGTTGGCAGATATTAAAGTTTCCTCTAATGAGAGGACTTCAGTAACAGAAAGCGAATGAGAGGCATTGTTTCTTCCATCTCGTCTCACAAAATTACTTCCAGCTGGTTGCTACTCACTTATACTTATCTTTTCCTCTGCCAGTTCCACCTCAAATTGGGGAGAATGCTCTTCTGACATCTGTGGATTCCTACAAGCATGGCTCCACCCAAACTCTTACGTGTACAGTGTACGCAGTTCCAATGGTGACCCGCATTCAGTGGTCCTGGCAACTGGAAGAAGAATGCACTTTCAATCCACAGTAAGTAGAATGCAAGTTCCTGGTGATTGCTTTTCCCACATTTGATTGGGTTACAAATACCTTGCGTTGGTGTTTGGAGATCTCTCAACAAATCTCTTCTGGGCGCCTCGGGAGTAAGGCTGCAAGGTAATGGCCCCTGCTTCAAGAAGGTAAAAGCCAGCTGTGAAGCGAACGTTCTTTGCAGGAAGCAAAGACGTTTTGATACTCAGCCTCGTGGACATTACAGTATTTTAAGTTGGTATTTGAAATCTCTTCTGATCCTTTGGAAAATTCTTCTCCTGGAGGTGAGGCAGGCCCCGTCTCCTGGCCTTCTGAAAAGGGGTTAAAACATGGTTCCGTGGCCATGCCTGGGAAGCCCAAAAGAGTACGGATTTGTGGGGTTGGTGAGTGCCACGAGAGCCCTTCCTTTGCCTTTGTCCATCAATTTTTTAACAGGGTTATTCTTGCCTCCTTAATATATAGGTACAGCTATAGCTATAGATAGATATAGATGTAGCTATAGATACATGTGTGTGTGTGTGTGTGTGTGTGTGTGTGTGTGTGTGTGTGTGTGTATCTGTATCTTCTATATATATAAAAGTGAAATACCACTCACGCATCATCACAGATTTCCAGAACCCTAAAGCCTACAAACTTGAAATTTGGCACGTATGTTCCTCTTGGCTTCTAGGTGCTCACTAAGAAAGGATTTTTCAAAATGACCATCAGAGCATGAGTATTTCATATATTATTATTATTAACGTGCTCTGATGCTAAGGAGTTCTACTCCCCACCTGAAAAGAAATCTTTTCCAAATGCAAAACACACGCAGAGGAGAGGAGTTTCAGTTTCAGTTTTAGTTTCACAGGAGCAACCAGCTTTAGTACAGAACAGTTGAGCTAAGCCACGCCCAGGCTCCTTGCTGTCTCTTTCTTGCTCACATAGCAAATACTGTTACAGTTTCCATGTTTCAGTTTCCAAACAGCCCTCAACTCTCTCACACACTGACAGGATGCTAGCCAAATAAATACCGATGGATGCTGGTAAGCAGAGGCCGAATTTTTTTCCTCCCCCAAATCTAAACCTGATCACATAGTTTCATAGCGAAGTACAGATATATATGTGTGTGTATGTGACCTCGTTGAAATGTTGCCAAGATGCTCTCAATCTTACACGGGAAAAGACCCGAACACGCCAAGACCTACATACCTGTATCTGTGAAAATCCACAAAAACACACACACACACTTTTAAGTCAAAATTTTGACTCTTAACATTTTAATTTTTTTGTATTTCAATGTTTTATGATACACCACCAAGAATCCGTCTTTTGAGGGAGATGGATGGTTTAGAAATGTGAAATATAAATAAGTAATGTCAGTCTTCATCTGGTTATGTCAATAAAACTACTCAAATTCCCTCCAGTTTTATTTGTGTGCTGGATTTTGGCTATAGGTGACTGCTGGCTCTCGGTTCTGGAAGTTTTTATTGTTGCTGATACATATAACAGATCTGTAGTGTTCTCTCCCCCAAGTTTTCTCTCTTGGGGGGCAAACCAGGCCTTCATTTGTCTGGGTGTCTTATCTCTATGAAAGTGAATGTCAGTGGAAACTCCTTGACTGATGGTAGGAGTCATAGAGTGAGCTTCTGACCAAGGGCCACTTCACTTCCCTTATCTGAATTTTGCACAAGAACAGACTTCCTTTTAGAATTAAAAAAAAAAGAAAAAGAAAAGGGAATCTGTTTTCCTGTTGTTGTTGTTTTGAAAACAACTTCCTTTCTGTCTTCTTCCTTTGGTGCCTAACTATTTCCTATGCAAGGCTGGGTAATCCAGAGAAATATGGATTCCTATGTTAACCTTTGCCTTTCTTTTAACAAAATTCCCGTCCGATTTGTTGATTTTATGAATGGAGGTTTATTTGCAAAACAACTGTTCCTTACCTTTAATATCTATAGGTATGAGCTGGCCAAAATAAGGAAAATTTACCTCGAGGGCCTGAGAATATTCCTTGGCATATAGCAGCAAGGACTTTTAGGCATCGTATCAGAGTCTATGTATGATCCTATAAAATACGAGATGCAGAAAAATATTGCGGCACATAAGGACTTTTCCTTTTCAGTGCTATAACCAACCAATTGGGGATGCTCCTTCAGTAGCAAATACTTCTCTCTCTATGTGGTATGGCTCTTCTGAATATAGACTCTTTGCCAAGAATTTTTGGAACTGAATGTTGCACAGTTGCAGGGCACAGAAGTTGAGAAAGGAATAAGAGGATGGAAGTTGGAAGGAACCTTGGAGGTCTTCTAGTCCAACCCCTTGCTCAAGCAGGAAACCTATACCATTTCAGACAAATGGTTGCCCAATCCCTTCCTAAAATCCTCCAGTGTTGGAGATCCAACAATTTCTAGAGGCAAGCTGTTCCTCTGGTTAATTGTTCTCATTGTCAGGCAATTTCCCCTTAGCTCTAGATTGATTCTTTCCTCGATTAGTTTCCACCCATTGCTTCTTTTCCTATTTTGACCCCCTCTTCTTTTTGGAAGCCTCTTAGATATTGGAACACAGCTATCCCTTGTTCTTCTTTTCATTAAACTAGCCATACCCAATTCCTGCAACCCTTCTTCATATGTTTTAGCCTCCCGTTCCCTAATCGTCTTAGTCGCTTTTCTCTGCACTCTTTCTAGAGTCTCACCGTCTTTTTTTATATCATGGTGACCAAGGTTGTTTGCACAATCGGATATTCTCATTGAGTCACTATATTCATAAAACACTTATAGGCAATGTCTATCTCCCTAACTCCATCTTCAGCTATAAGAGCTCCCATGGAGCTCAGCTGATTAGTTAGCTACAACATATTGGAAGTAAGACCTTAATTACACTTAGACATGAGATGGTTTCATTCCCCTACTCCAAGTGATTCATGCAAAGTGAGATCACAGGAACATGGTTTTTAATCTCACTTTCCTGACAACTTATATTCATTCATTCATTCATTCATTTATTCAATTTCTATACCACCAATTAGTCAGAGTGGCTGACAATTAAAAAATATATTAGTTAAACATACTAAAACCTTTTAAAAACAATAAAAACAAAAACATTAGATTAGATTTTATATACAGTATATGCAAGATACTTGGCCAGTATTGGAAAGATAATGCTCCACAATAAGCATTGCACACAAAAAATGTAGTTTGCCACCTGCTGTTAACAATTGTGATACTTTTTTGTGATCATTTTGTTATCAAGATGAAATTTCTTTGATTTTTCTCAGCCAAGCTGGAATTGGGAATAATCCTTATGCATGTAAGAAATGGAAAAACATAGCAGACCGAAGAGGTGGAAATCAGATTGAGATCTTAAAAGATCAGTTTGTTGCTATTGCTGGGAAAATGAAGGTGAGATATTGATTTTTTGTTTGCTATTTGCAAAGCTGCTGGAAAGCTAGGTGGTAGAATTGAAGTTTCTATATTGCAATTCGCACTGTGCATAAACAAAATTCCATATAAATAAAGACCTGTGTGCATAAAACAGAAAATGACATTATTCACTGACCGAAAATGGAGAAAGAATTATAAATCCTTCCTGGGCTCCAGAATGTTATCTGCTGGTCTTAGTTATCATTTAGCCCAGTAACTTAAAGGTAAAATAGATTTGATAGTAGAATGCATCAAGCTAAACAAACTTTGGCAGGTATTTTTTTTATTACCATTATTAATCATCCCTAACATTTATTATCATAAATATATGCATTGAAAAGCTAATTTTAAAGGATTTACAGAAGGTTCACAAAAGGTAAAATTTAAAAGAGTTGAAACTGAGCAGTTGGGTTTAGTCAGAAATGGCACTTTAACTGTTCATGGAGACTTTAAATATGATATGAGAAGCAATATAGAAATGATGATAATGATAACAGTCATACGTGTTTTTATTTGGCGTTAAGCCCCATAAGATAATGGCTTTTCTCCAGCAAGTATGCAGTTTCGTTTATAGCTTAAGGCTGCAATTTTAAGCAACTATTTAATATTTACTGCCTATATTTGTATTAAGATTCTCAGGTCAATGAATCAATTCTTAGCAGAAAATTCATTCTGAACCCAACAGGACTAAATTTTACATGAGTCAGGGTTGAGTCAGGCCTGATCATGTGATATCAAGTTATTTCTAGAGAATGTGCTGGTTTTTCAGCTTCACTTCATTTCTGGATTTTTATGGGCAATAATAAACTCTCTATTGACTATTGTTGCAAGAGAGTTGAAGAATGGTCAACAGTTTTTGTAATGACCCTGGCCGTGGCACAAAGGCAACCATCGTGCCTCCCGTCCCTGTCCTATTGTCCCTATTTAATTATACCTATTTTTTGTATTCTTACTCATGTTTATACCTATACCTATTATTTTGTAAGCAATTGACAAATCAAATCAAATCAATCAATAAATAAATAACAGTCAGATAATAGGTAGGAGTCCGTTTATTAGCTCCAACTTTGCCCCAATGTCCTGGTTACCTTCTGGCTAGAGAAAAACTCTCCCAGGAACAGCCTTTGGCTGCAGAGAATCAAGTCCAAAACGTGGTCAACAAAAACTGTAACTATAAGTTCAATCAAGCCAAACTGAGGTAATCAGTTTGGCAGAACAGGAGCAAGAATTCCAGACATGAAGGCATGGTCAAAACCCAATATGGTTGGAAAGAGACCAGGAACACAGATAAGCAAAGTCAACACGAGATAAACTCACATTTGTTCCCAGCAGCTGCCGCACTCAGCATGTATCTCTTTTAAGCTTTCTTCCCAGGTGTGGCTAATGAAGGGAATCAGGACCCTTTCCTCCTCCATAAGCCACACAGCTCACGTTGCTCTCTTCTCCATTCCTCCCTGCGTGCCCTAGGATGAAGAGGGGGTGGGCCTGGGTCTTCCTCTGAAATCCCTCTCCCTTGTTCTACCTCTCCTCTGCTATGCTCAGCCGGACTTTGCTTTTCCCAATTTCGTCCACAGCCAACGGAGCCACACTCCCATTCCCTGTCCGCTGTTCGTCTTCCTCCTCAGATTCAGACTCTGACAGGGGCATGACAGTTTTACTTCCGTTCATCCCAGAGGGTAGTCAACTTGACCATCTCAATTTCAGGTGCCAATACATCCAACAAGGGTGGATTGTGTTGCAGTAGAAGGAGTAGCTTGGCTAAACTAACATGGCGACCTGTGCCATTGACTCATTGTGCAGAAGATCAGCCCAAGACCGTATCCTTAAACCCCTTGTTCTCTTGTAGACGGTGAGCAGCCTCACGATTCAAGCAGCAAATGTGTCCACCTTGTACAGATGCGTAGCGAATAATAAAGCTGGAGAAGGTGAAAGAATCATGTCATTTCATGTAACTAGTAAGTCTTGCTTACCGAACCCATCTACCGCATTTTTTTCAAAGCATGCCTCCCTTCCCAAATGACCGTAAAAGATCATGGCAAAAAGGCCAAGCAGGGGGGTTGGACTAGAAAAGGGGTCACCAACCTTTTGGACCCCAGGGATCATCAAACTCATCATTTTAAATCCCGCGGACCAGGGACCCTGGGAAAATCCCCCCAAAAGTCTTCAGGAAAATTCCCCACCCCGTTTTCCTACTGATCAATCATTCTTTATTTGGGATCACAGGATACCATCTCCAGCTTTGTTCTCAGGGAGAGAGAGGGAGGGAGGGTGGGAGGGAGGGAGAGAGAGAAGGGGGGAGAGACTTTGGGCTTCATGCAAGGAAATCAGCAGAAGCAACAGAAGTCTTTCTTTCTCTCCCCTAAACTCCGCCAGAAATGAGTCTTTGTGAGACTCATCATGCTGGTGCAGCCTCTTGGATCAGGATGCTTTGTAGGGTCCCAAAGACTCATTTCTGGAGGAGTTTGGAGGAGAGAAAGAAAGACTTTTGCTGCTTTCCTTGCATGCAGCCAAAAGCAGAAGAAAGAAGCAGCCCAATGGCTAGGCCAGGTGCATGGGGTGAGTGGGGCAAGTTCCCCCCTCCCCTTCCCCCCTTCCCCTTACTACCTAGTATTGTTTGCAATACAAGCGACTGAAGCCTTGTGTTCCCATGGGCCATGTGGGTGGCTCAGCCTCGTGTTCCCGTGCAGCCTGGATTAATTGCTTTGGGGGTGACATTTCTCTATGGACCAGAAAAATTGGCAACCACTTGGACTAGAAGACCTCCAAGGTCCCTTCCAACTCTGTTATACTGCTATAAGTTGGCTGGGATCAAGGAACACCCAGTCTGTTTTGGTGGGTTCAAAACAGGGGGGAAATATTTCAGATTTTGGAGTGGATGTTTCAGAATTGGAAGCGGATGACTAGTGTCCAATGTCAGGCTTATGGCCTTAAAACGTTCCTCAAGGAAGAGGTTTTCTCAGAAATTTCAGCTTCGCCCCTCGGGTTGAAAGAATATTCTTTGCAGTCTGTGGTCCATCCTTGAAGTAGCAAACAGAAACAGAGTTTCTCTCATCTACAACATTTCCAGGAGAGGCTAAGATGGTAGCCACAATTACTTGATCAAAACCTTCTCCCCTTTTCACACATGTCAAAAGGGCTGAGGCTTTGACTGAGGGGCTGTGGATGTTCACCTATCAGGTGCCTCTGAATTTCAGTACTTCAATACAATATACATTTTCACCAAGTATTAATCTCTCTTAGACAGGGGTGGGATTCAGCCGGTGTAACAACCGGTTCGGTGAGTGCATGCTTTGCACGTGCACAGCGTTTGCAACTCAACTTCTGCTGCAAGCCCTGTATGTAAAACAACTGATGCACGGTAATCCGCTGTGCCGCGCGAAGCAGCTGAGCTGGAAAACCCGGAAATAAATCTCAGCCGGGGTAAGTGGGTGGGCCCAACAGCTGATTGTTGGAGAGAACAGGTTCTCCCAGCTGATCTTTGGAGCAACTGGTTTGCCCGAACCAACCTAAACCGGTAGAATCCCACCCCTGCTCTTAGGGCAGGACAGGCAATGGCTGTCTGATCATTTCCTTCAGATCCTTTCTGATCCTTTTCCTTTTATTCCCAGGAGGCCTTGAGATCAGCCTTCAGCCTCAAGGCCAGCCTATTAAGAAGCACAACGTAACTTTGCAATGCACCGCAGACAAGCACACCTTTGAAAGCCTCACCTGGTTTAAATTCAGCCCCCGAGTTTCAGAGACGCGCCTGGATAGACTGCCTATGCCTGTTTGCAAGAATCTGGAGGCCCTCCAGAAACTGAATGGCACCACCATGAAGGCCGATAGGGAGACGGTTACCCTGAGCCTCTTTCTCCAAAATATCAGCCCCCAAGATGGTGGAGACTACGTGTGCATCGCTCTGGACAGAAAGAGCAAAACTCGGCGCTGCCTTGTCAAACATCTCACTGTTCACGGTAAACCCAATGCTGTATTGAGAAATGTTCCATTCAATTTTCAATTCAATCTATTTCTCACCCACATTGAATCCATCCAACGATACACAAAAAATATCGGGTTCACCCGTGTTTCTATATACATGATCCTAGCTTTAACTGTCGGGTTCCTCTAATTGCTCTGCGGCAAGGACAGTTAATTTTATTGGTAGACAAAGACTCTATATGGTGGACACGGAGAGCCGTCACATTTTGTCCAATGGCAAGTTTGGAAATCACTGCATAATTTTCATGTGTTTCCCAGCCTCAAAATGACAGGAAGTCGTGTTGTTAGTTTTGGCAATCATTGTCTGAGGAGGTCACCCTAGAGCAGGGATGTCAAACTCAAGGCCCGTTGGCTGGATCCTGCCCATGGGGTGCTTAGATCTGGGCCACAGGTCCGCCCTGAAAATAGCAAAGGACCGGCCCACAGTACCTCTGCCAGCAACAATGAAGCTTAAGAGAGCCACGTATGTCCTCCCCGGGCTCCGTTTTCACTGGCAGAAGGCTGCAGGAGGCCATCGTGGCCAAAAACGGAGCCTCGATGAGTGACATCGAGTGGGCCATGGCCACCCTGGCCACACCTATCCCAGCCATACCCCTCCCCTGCTCCCCTGAGGTCAAACACAACCCTGATGTGGTCCTCAGTAAAATTGAGTTTGATACCCCTGCCCTAGAGCAATTTAACACTTAAGCAGTGATTGTCCTGCAAAACAAGAAACTACAGAGCATAAAGGGAACATACCGAAATAAATATATTTAAAGTTGTTGTCAAAGTGTGTCTTTTCTTGAAATGTAAAACATTGGTTGGGTTGTGCAACTTTGTGGGGCCAAAGACTGCATTGGAAGCTGAATGACATGCCAGAGTCTACACTTCAAATGTAGTGAGTGGAGCGAGAGCCAAAAGTGCATTCAATTTCATTTAAAGTGAATGGAAATCAAGTTGAGTTATTGTGACTACGTTCTGGATTACTTCCCTATTCTTTTTTACCTTAACCATTAAATTTGATCAGATTTATCTCGGGGCCATGTGCACATCTCCCAGGGATTTAGGTTGTGCTCCTGAAATAAATAACTGACAAACAAATTCCATGTATTTATGCTGGAACACTTCGTGTTCAGTCTGCAATTTTAAGAAAGAATTTCTAACAAGGCTACTAACCGGGCGTGGGATGCAAGTATTTTTACTACCGGTTCTGTGGGAGTGGCTAGGTGGGCATGGTCACGTGACTGGGTGGGCATGTTTTATTTTTTATTTTTGCAGCCCACCCCGCACTCTGTTTTTTTGCCTCCTGGGCCTCAGGGAAGTCTCCTGGGCAAAGCAGTAGGCAACAAGGGGGATCCCGGCACAGCTGATCGTTGGAACAGCTGATCATTGGGAGGAAAAAAGAAAGAAATACCGGTTCAGCTGAACCGGTAGCTGTTTTTTTTACTACCACTTCAGCCGAACAGTAGCAATTTTTACTACCTGTTTGCCTGAACTGGGCCAAACCTGTAAAATACCATCACTGCTAGTAACCATTGTGTTCCTCCCATTGATTATAATGAAGCATCGGTTGCTTTCGGGCTTGCCTTTCTAGAGGGAGATTTTTTTTTCAGGGCCTGCTCTTAACATCTGCATTTCTTGCAAACAGAACCAGTGGCACCCACAATTACAGAACACCCTCGGAATCAGACAACGAACATTGGCGAAACAATAGAAGTTGTTTGCACGGCAAGTGGGATTCCTTCCCCTCATATCGCTTGGTTTAAAAACAATAATTCTCTTATTGAAGATTCAGGTGAGAAAGTTCTCCTCTATCCAATTGCTTAGGTTAAATTGCCTACTGATGTTGCAATGCTCAATGTACTGCTTATCCAATCCAAGAAATAGAATTATCTAAGAAATACTTTTTCCATTATGTCTCTTAAATGCTCCTATCAGTCATTATTGATCATTCAATGAACAAAACTGTGTCCTTTTGTTTGATATCAACTACATCCCCTGCTGATGCCTGTCAGTTATATCTATTAATAAGAGCTACATTAATTTCTTGCCCAATTCTAATCCCAGTAAGTCACCAGTTTTATTCACAAAGGCATTATGCAATTAATTTATCATATTAGAGGGTTGCAGCATGAAAACCGTTGCCAACTGATTTATTTTTTGTTGATTAAACAAAATAACCAAACAAACAAAAATGTGATTAAACAAAAAATGATAAGACTATAGTTCCATAAGGGAAAATAGATGTCCAACCAACTATTGATTAATTATATTTATAGCTGTCAGATTGGTCCTGAGGTCATGGACTTTGATTGGAAACCTCTACTAAGAATAGAACTGTGTTGGGCTGGTTTCACTCGGGTGGGATTTCAGCCGGTTCAGACAGGTTGGAGCAAACCGGATGTTAATTTTAAATCTGATTCACTGAACTGGTAGTTCTGAAGACTGGTGGCCCCTGCCCACCCTGCCCTGCCTCTCCCAGGAGTCTCCATGTGTTTTGGATCCCAGGTAAGTACAGGATCCACACGGAGGCTTAGGGAGGGTGGAAAATGGGCCTCCCAGAAAATCCAAAAGTTTGGAAACAGGCCTGTTTCTGGCTCTGGAGGGCCTCTGGAGCCTGGGGGAGGCTGTTTTTGCCCTCCCAGAGGCTCAAGGAAAGCCTCTGGCGCCTGTGGAAGGTGAAAAGGCCATTCCTGCCATGGTGCAGGAGGCTGACTAGTCCACGCCCACCATGGCCACGGCTACCAGGCAACCGAGCAGAGAACTGATTGCTAAAACTTTCGAATCCCACCCCTGGTTTCACTCATACTGTGTCTCCATTATCACGACTAATTATGTCGTAGGGCTGAACCTCATCCCCAAAATCAAGTCTAATCCAAACAAGCTCGGGTTCAGGGAAATGTTAGGCCCAGCTCCGTAGTTCAGTTGTTCAAAATAGAAAATGTAAGGTGGAATTTTTTTAGAATGCTTCCATTCGGAGTTATAGCAAAAGAAGTCATTTGCCTTCCTTGTTGTCTCTGCTACAAGGTATTGTCCTGAAAGATGGGAACCAACGGCTCACCATACGAAGAGTGAGAAAAGAAGATGAAGGTCATTATATGTGCCACGCCTGCAATGTCCTGGGTTGTACAAAGGCAGATGCATTTTTTGAAGTGGAAGGTTGGTGGCATTATTCATTCCCACGGTGATGTTGGAAAGTCTTACTTTCTGTGTCCTTCCTTCCTTAGAATTGTGCTACCTCTGTTAGTGAACTCCTTGGAATTGTGTTCACTCTGTTAATGCAAGTCCAGATGCTACTAGTTTCAATTGATAAATAAAAACAGAGCTGAAGAGAAGCAAACTTGCCAAATCTGGGGCCATACAGGAAATCCAGAAGCTGGATGGCAGCCCTGGGAGAAGTGCCAAAAATCTAAGTGGAAGCAAAAACCTTGGAATTTGGTGAAAGACCAGGTTCATACATGAAGGTTCAATAAAACTGATTTTTTGCTAAAAGTTTATGCACTGGAATCTTCTCAGCTAATGGTTGGCGGTGCCTGCTTAGAGTTAGTGAAGGAGAAATTAGACTTAATTCTGTAATGGCAGTATAGGGATTTTCAATCCGCCCCTAGGTTCTGCCTGCTATCTATCTATCTGTCTGTCTGTCTGTCTATCTGTCTGTCTGTCTGTCATCTATCTATCTATATCATCTATCTATCATATCTATCTATCTATCTATCTCCATCTATCATCTATCATCTATCTATCTATCTATCTATCTATCTATCTATCTATCT